TTTTATTAGATTTTTTTAGATTTCAAAAAGTTAGTAGATTTGAAAAATTTGTAAAATCCATGTAGAGTTTGGTTGATTTTTTGTAGAATCCATGGAGAATTTAAAAATTTTGTGGAATCTTTAAAATCCATGTAGAATCCGACTGGCGAGTGGAAGGACGGAAGATGAAAGATCGAGAGAAGCCGAAGAAGATGACATGAGGATAGAAGAAGATGACAGATCCAAGAAGGTGGATGCCGATTCAAACCTCTGGACGATCTTGTGCGAATTCAGCAAGGAAACTTCCGGATCTAGATCCAGAGAGGCCCTTGATCGCGTGTGTCACTTCCTGGCCGAAAGCTCCTCCTACAGATCTGCCGCCGGACACTGTGATCTTGAGAGAAAGAGAGAGAGGATCGGAGACCATGGGGGTGACGACCGCAGGATTCTTAAAATCTTTGGTTTGGAGTAGGGATTTGTTTATAGACTTTTTATTGAAATTTCTATCTTCAAATCCATTAAAATCCATGTAGAATATAAATCTTTAAAAATTCATTAAGTGTTGAATATCTTTAGATTTAGATAGAATTTTTAAAATCCAAATTCAATACAACCAAATTTTAAATGACTTTTTAAAATCTGAATTGAATACATTTAGATTTTAAATGACTTTTAAAAATCTGAATTGAATACCCATAGAATTTTAAAATCCAAAAAAATCTTTTAAAGTCCAAGTTCAATACACCCCCTTAATTTGCAGTCCCTCCTCCGATATGATCCCATTACCCATGCTCTAAAACCCCTCAAAAGCTTAGCTTGAACCGTAAGATTGTTACTTTTTTAATATGAATTTCAAGTAGGGATGGCTTGGATTTGGAATGATAGCTTCCAACCCTAATATAAAACACAAAGGGATAAATCAACTCTGGATACACGATCACTACTCCAAAGTCGTCCCAAAATTTCTGGAACCACTTCCAACTTGAATGCACTTTATGAGTATTTCGGTAAGTGAAAATATATGACTAGTGACAATATTGATGTCTAAGTGATGCTAGACATTTAGTTGAATAATGACTAATAGATAATGATTCATTGTCCTACATTGGGAAATAAAAACATATGTTCGTATATTGAGAAAATCTTTATGTTTTAGTCCTATTTAGGTAAATTACTCTTTCTATAATGCTCCTTGGATGCATATTGTTTTGAGGACTTTCTCAAATAATTTTTTTTCTATAAAAAAATGGATGCTTATTTAAGCAATAAGATATACTTGGTCCGTCCCTGAGTGTTTGTCCACTTTTGACTTTTGGAACTGTTCATATAAACACTTTTACTCATCAAATTCTCTCAATGTGTAAGCCTAAAAATAGTCATGTGTGATCTTGTTTGATTCGTCTTAACATATACGTAGTAGATTATTAATATATAATTTTTATAATTTTTTAATATACAAATTACAAGATAAAATGGATTAAAGAAGTGCATTGGATGGTGTGCAAAATTGAAAGTGGACAAATACTCAGGGACGGAGGGAGTACTTATTTTAATTTGTGCATATGTAAATTCACGATGGACCTTAGGTCCACCATATATAGAATTTTGTCTCTAGGCAATGAACGTTACCCTTGTCTCTAGGCAATGAACATTCAGTTTCAAGCTAGGAAAATGGGCAATGTTAAGTTCACAAACAAAACCGTCACAAACTTACGATTTCAGAATTGAATTCTCATTTTAAAATTATTTTAGACTACTTTAATTTTGTATTGAAGTTCATAAATAAAAAAATTGTGAAATTTGTGAC